CATGCAAGCTTCAACTGGGTTGCTGTTAAGGAACTTAAATTAAGGGATTATCCCCCTATAATGGAGAATCAAATGGAAAAGAAAATGGAAAATGAAATGGAAACTGGGGGGAATATAGGGATTAAGGAACTTAAATTAAGTTACCATAATGGGTATATATAGTAAATACTAGGGTTTCCCCAATATAGTAACTTAATTTAAGTTCCTTAAAAGCAGCCCAGAATCTAGGGAACGGCAGTCTGGAATAAGGGGCTCCTCCTCCAACATGACCGCCTGCAAGAAGCACATATGTACTGGGAGCATGTGTGGTTAGGTGGGGATATTGGCAGGATAGATTTGTCACAATCTTTCAAACGCTCCGAGTAAGGGTATCTGTAAATCCCACTTCTCACTATCTGCGAACCTCCAAGTACAGTTTAGCTGCCAGACTACCCCTATGGTTGCCCCCTGACTAACCCTGAAAGAACCCAACTAAGAGGGAAGCAAGGGTCCCTAAAACCTAAACCCTTACACCCCAAACCCCAAACTCTAAACCCTAACCCATATGTTTATGGTTGAGGGTGGGGCTTCAAGCTTCAGGAATACCGCGGTATGGGTGTCCAGGGCTTCGGGTGCAGGGCATGGTGCTAGCATTATCCGGACTTCTAAAAGCAGGCAAACTCTTTCCCAGTTCAAACCTCACGAAAACAGTTCCAGGTAGGACCCTAAACCCTAAACCAGGAGTTCTCAAGTCATGGAGTCATGGGGCTAAATCATGGGGCTAAGAAAATTAAATCCATACGGGGTCCAGGACTGCAGCTTCAGGGGTTTAGGGGAGACTTAGTAATAATGGAAAAGAACATGGAAAGCGCGATATGAATTAGGGTTGAGGATTTAGGGTTTAGGGTTGGTGGGTCTCAGTAAGTGGATGTGTAACCCTATAGGCAATGGAATAACCCCCAATTATCCCCACAATTCTGAACGTGCTTGCTAAGTCCTCCCGACCTTCTAAGTAGGTACCGGACAATTATTGCAGTCCTCGTCACATCTCAAAAGACATGTTATGGCACGCTTTACTATAGCCAAACCCTGCAACGTAACCCGAGCTAATGATTGACAAAATCGGAGAATTGCAGAACACAGTTTGGGGCAGATCTCGGACGCACGAGCCCTTGAAAGGCAAGGTGAATGCTTTTGCAGCCAGAAACCCTAGAAATCAAGACCACACGTTGCCTGACGCGCCAACAAACTAGAAAGGCTTTGCTTGGGCCGGCGCTTTGATTTAGATGTTAGGGCTTTTTTTGGGAGACTCAACTGCTTTGCCGCTCTTGAAGTGTGAAGGGGAGAGCTGGTTCTAACACCTGACTTTGCCAACTAACATTATCACAGTTGAAACTTTACAAGTTTCAGAAGGACTCAATTACGTGGCTGCCTCACGCCGTAAACCGCACTACTCACACGTCCAACCCCCTAAGCCCATCAACTACTTCCCGCCCTTGCAGGGAGATATCATGACGGATAAAATCGTCTCAACCTTGTGAGCGTTTTTGGAAATGAGCCGCGTGACCATGAACCTGAGGTAGTACAGTTTAGGCTTTGGGGTTTAGGCTTGGACCATAAGCCCCAAACCTTGAAGTTTACACTCTGAAGACTCAAATCCTCACTGAGCTGGCGACCTTCGGCGGGATCTGCACATCAGTATCCTCAATGCCAGTCTGCTTCACTGGGACAGGACCTTGGTTCTTGGTACCAAGAGGGTTCGGACTTGGGGTCTAGGGTGTAGGATATCTCTCCCCCAAAGTAACATGAAACCCCATGTAGGCCCCGGTCAATCTCTTAGGATGGCAGACTGATTGAAGAACGTTGTATCTTGTATAAGAAGAAGACTACACTCGGATTGATGCTGGAGCTTGTTCTCCTTTCCATTATTCATAGATAGAAATCCCATTGTTATCATTAATAACTATTAGGATCATCAATCTTGCATTTGTTCTTCTCATTTAAGGGCGTGTTGGGTGTATGCTCTGCGGCTGCTTCACTGAGCCATGGTCAGGAGCAGAAGTCTGTCAACAAGTCATTCGGTCTAGCCTCCAAAACAAGTTCAGGGTTTCGGGGTTAGGGTTTAGGGTTCGACAGTCTGCGCAACCATGCGTAGATTTCACGAACCTCCCACTTGGAGGTATCGCAAGTAGCTGGAAGTTCCACGCAATATCTAAGAAGCTCTCGAAGAGCCTTCGCTGCAAGAATCCCCACACAGCCCTACTGGCAGGGCCATGGACTCCCTGATCCGTGGGGAATGGGGGCATTAGTTATCGGGACTGTTACAAGAAGGTCTAGAGGAACTACTAGAGGGATCTACCCCCCCCCCCCCGTGCATTTCACCCTAAACCCTAATCCCTAGTCCCTAAACCCGAGCCACCTGATCTTGCATACTGGAAACCATTTGCCCTCCCTGAAACTAACATGAGCCATAGTCCACCCTCCTAGTATCCCCCCTTAATAACCCGCATAACAGTCCTTAACTAATCCGATATATACACCCCTTTATGGGAATTTCGGCTAAAGCTCACATGGAACCCCACACTTCTTTTCTACCTGGCTCTACGTTCATCTGGGTGACGGCTGTGGGGGGTTTAGGGTTTAGCCTGGTTCTGGGTGTCTGGGGCAGGCGGCGACTAGGTTGCTCTTCAGGCACTTAAACTGAGTTACCATAATTGGGGTATACAACGAACAATAAACTTTCCTTATCATAGTATCTTAGGTTAAGTTCGTTAACAGCAACCCAGGACAGATCATCTACAAACACAAAAGCTCAACCACCCAATTTTGAGCGAGCACGCACGAAACCTGCTGAAACCTGTGGAAGGCGCAAATATTGTGTCCGCGACATTTGCTGCGGAGGAAATTTTCCTGCAACTGGGTTGCGCTTGTTGGCGGTTGAAGCCCGTAAGAGCATGTTCCTCTTATAGAATACTATGCCCAAACGGCGACTACAATCTTGCTGCATTGGGTACCATAGCATCCCAGATAAAATGATACTCACTGGGTTCGAAGTGTACAGGCTTTGAGTTGGGGCAGCCAGGTTTAGGGTTTAAGGTTTAGGGTTTAAGGTTCAAGGATTGGGGGTTTAAAGTTTAAGGTTGAGGGGTCTTATGAAATCCTATACCGCATCCCTCCTTACTCCCCCTCCCCAAAATAAACCCCAAGTACGGCTCACTTAGAGCTTACTCAGCGTTTCTTCAGGCCGTAACATAGGAGTCCGTGTCAATCCTGAACCCTATGGTGATCACTATCTGTAGTCTCCTTAGACCTATAATCAAAACATTTTAGGGTTATACTATAATGAAAATTGAAAATAATTCCTAAGGACAGTACAGCTATAAGCCCTTAGAACTGGAAACAGTCGCTTCCCTGGCCTGAAGCTTTCTTAAAGATGTGAAATGGGGGTTTCCCAAAATTGGGAGATGCCTTTTTGGGGGTCCCCATAACAAGGATTATAGTATTTTGGGGTCTATAGTGGGATCCCCCTATTTAGGGAAACTACCAGATCTCGAGTACCCTCGAAACCAAATGACAAGGAAACGCATACAGAAATCTTTTCAATGGACAGCGGTCTTTACAGGGACCCTCTTGAGCTTTCATGTTTCTTTGGAAGAGCTACCGAGGGATGATCCTTTTGGGATGCGAGGGAGCGAGCTATGTCTTAACAAGTAGCTTGTCCGATAACGTATAGAGGGTATATAGGGATTGTACGGGGGTCATATACGGGTGCGGGTTTAAGGTTTGGCAACATGCCACAAGCAGGTACCAGACCAAAGACTTAGAACGCCCAAGGAATCAAAGAACCCCCAAACGACCCTATAGTCCCCCTGAAGTAGATAGAATATGGGGTATGTGGAGATCTTACTATAGTAATATACTCCAAGCCATATTCTGTCTACTTAAGGTGGACTATAAGCATTAAAACCCCTTATCCCTACAACTTAGGGTCAACCATCATGCAGAGAGAATCCCCATTAAGAACTTTAGGGTTTAGGGTTTAGGGTTTAGGGACTTCCAATTTCTAGGGACTGTTGGAAATCCCCTTTGCTTCATAATAAACCCCCACCCGCCTAACAATTAACATTGCTGCTGCTTGGAGGGTCAGAAGGACTTGCTTAGTAGGATAATGATGGTGATAAAAGTCGGGTTACTACATGGGTTAAAGGGGTTCAAGATATACATACTAAGTCTCCCTGACCCTCCAAGTAGTATAGAATGGTACCATATTCGCGGGTGGGCAGAGGGGACATTATAAGGGGAGATCATATCATGGTGGAACCTCACCTTCAACGACAACCCAATTCTTAAAGCCTAGTCGGAGGGTCAGGGGGAGTAAGTAAGTAGGTCAATAATGGGGATAATTGAGGATATTTCATGGGTTATAGGTGTCATTAACCTACTTACTAAGTCCCCCCGACCCTCCAAGTATATCATACCCCAGTATTGTCCTTATAGAACTCTATATAACCCTATATACCCCTATGGTAGTTCCCTGCACTCTAACAATTTCAGCCTGATCCATGCTTTTTGAAACTTGAGGCCTGGGAGGGGGGGGAGAAAAAAGCCACGAGGGTGGGACTAGGGTATGTATTGGTGTTATATAGGGATAATGGGAACGAAAATGTGGAAAAGAACATGGAAGTTACTATAAGGGGGCTATATGGGGAATATTACTCTCATCTGAATCTACTGCAAGGCTTCTTTAGCCGCTTATGTTCAACGATCGAGCTTTTTGATAGTGGATTGCTGCTACACGCGGCAAGACTGCTATATGCAAAACCAAAAGCTATGGTTCATGCATCTCAGAACTCCCAAATAGCCACAATACTGAACTTGAACCCGTGACTGCTACTCCGAAGTAGCCCCTTCCCAGATCTCGCATTTGCCCATGATAACACCTAAGACGCTTGAACGCCAAACCCAAATCTGAGACCTTGGCCGTAGGCTCAAAACCATGCTGTCTTTTAAGACTTGTACATCCCCCGGGCCTGGTATTCAATAACTTCACCCCAAACCTACTCAAAGAATTAGTTCTGAAGGCTAAAACGAGCTTCTGGATTGTCCAGCTGGCCGCCGCGCATGGGAAAATGCGCCTGCTTTCAAGGGGAAAGCTTGTTGTAAGGGCCTGAACCTTAGACTCTGAACGCTAAAGCAGTGACCTCCCCGAAAAAAGCTGCCCATCCCCTAATGCTATATAGTGCTTCCATGTTGAGAGGTTGGGGGGTGGCGAATTTTACTTGGAGGGTCAGGGGGATGTAGTAAGCATCTATACGTACCCCTGATCCCTAAACCCTAAACCCTGGACCCTTCAAAGAAATATTAGCGGGAGGGGATTCCTGCTCGGACCGGCTTCTGGGATTGGGTCATCTTCGTGGAGCACGCGGCTCAAGCAGATTTGAACAGGAATCTGCCTTGCTGTTGCGGAGCCTGAAGTTATCCAAAAAAAAAGGAGAAAATATGAATACAAGGAAACCATGTATATATATATGTATATATATATACTTGCGCGTCTATTTTTCTATGTTCATTTTTCTGTAGGTTAATATCAATTAGTATGGTAACTTAACTTAAGTTCCTCAATACCCTGATGACCCTTGTGAGCTCCAATGTTGGATGTTGTGTTCCACTTCATTTTCCATCTGGTTCTCTGTTACTCCACCGCGGTGCCTGCATTTATAGTCCACCTTAAGTAGATGGAATATGGCTTTGGGTATATCATATTCAGATCCCCAAATACCCCATATTCTATCTACTTAAGGGGGTCTATAAGTTCTATAAATCCCTACATAACCTCAGTTCCCATGTCAGTTTCGACTTTCTTTTCCGTTTGTTTTTCCATTACATCGACCCTGGGCCCTTGGCCCTAAATCATAAGTGGGGCCGTAGGGAATTAGGGTTTAGGGTTTAGGTTGTGAGGAGAGTAGATAGGTGGGCATCTTACTACGGTGTTTCAGGGAATGTACCCAGCTGGCTATACGTTCCGCACCTTTTTGTAGTTTCCATAAACAAGGGGCTGCAATATGAACCTGAACAGACTGTTACCCTTAGGCCCTTAGCCTTATAATGCAGACTCCCAAGGCGGGGCCCCTGTCTTTTTAACGAACATTCCTGGGTTGCTAGGACTCCTGAGTACTGCCTTGCGCAACACGTTTAGATGGTTGTTAAAATTATGGTCCCTTTTTGGTACCCTAAATATTAGGTGCCGTATTAGAATAGGGATCCAAAAAGGGACCATAATTTTGACAACCACCCATTTAGATACTATTGTCGGCGGCATTGTGCATTCAGCTTCACCACAGGGGATGATATGGGAGTTTCCCGCAATTCAAGGGCTACATTACAGGAGTCCGCATCATAAGGACTTTTGTATATTGGATCAGATAGGGGCCCTCTATTTATGGCAACTGCCATGTACTCAGTCATTGGGGTGGTTGTCAATCTTATGGTCCTTTTTGGGATCCCTGTTTAGGGTGCCAAGAAAAGGACCATAATTTTGACAACCACCCATATAACCCATTATAGTAGTTTCCATTTTCTTTTCCATTAACCCCCATATAACCCCCATATAACCCTAATATAGCCCCAATACATCATCCATCCTGGCCTCAATGGCGCTTTTCGCGGCCTCGCGGGTGATGATGTACATACCTGTTCACAGGGGCTGGTCTGAAACTATCTCGCGCACCCTAAACCCTAAACCCTAAACCCTAATCATCCAGTCGCCCGAAAATAAACCAGCCTACTGGTAACCCCCTTGTGTGGTTGCATGAACAGCAGGACCAGGGGAACCCGAACCGCTCCGCAAAAAGGTATGTGAGTCTAAGGGCATGTAGCTTAAACCCCAGAGTCGAACTGAGAAGGCCTTGTTCGGGTCGTTGTTAAGGAACTTTTATTACAGTAAGCTACCATAAATTGCTAATTTCAAGCACTCAAACACCAAAAAAGCACTGCCAAAAAAAACAGCAAATAAAACCTGAACCGCCTGTGTTGTAGCCAGTTCCCCGCAGGATGTGCAGGGGCAGCGGGCTGTTGTTCGGGCATGAGCCACCCTGGATCTGGAGGTAGTCCCACTCCTTCCTAAGCCACGTTCAGCGGTTTAGGGTTTAGGGTTTAGGGTTTCGGGTCGGGGGGAGCTTAGCAAGTAGGTTAATATGGTGATAAATAGGTTTGCTACATGTGTTACAGGGGTTGGTAACCTACTCACTAAGTCCCCTGATCCTCCATGTAGGCGGCGCTCAGCAGGACAACTGGAGCCACGTAAGGATTATTTGCTGATTTCAAAACGGTATGTGGGGAGTGATACCCTAAACCCTTAAACCCTTAAACCCCAAGCCCTAAACTGGGTTGGAACTTATGGTCCCCTAGATCTGGCACCAAATATACACACCCACCACTTTTCCAGGGGAACCTTATATAGCAAAAACCATTACAAGGCCGTACTTCAAAAGATTCCTCATATCTGTAGTACTACTTTCCTTTATATTACCACTTTGCCCGGAGTAGAGTTTTGGCAATTTCTGAATGTGTTGGGTGGATATTCATCTACTTTTGGGATCCAGGTACACCCTACACCCTAAATAATCCCCTCCCTAACAATAAAAACCACCTGCCCTCACTAGTCGCAACCCCCTTCCCAACATAGCAGCATTGCACATTTGAGCAATCTTCCATTATCAGGGCGGTGGGGGGATTATTACTAGGTGCAGCTGATTATCCAAGCGCGCTAGTACTCACCCAGTCCAACTTCTGCCTTGGACCTACTAACCTCGAGGTAGCCAATGTTTACTCTCGGCCTGCGCCATGTATGCCCTTCAGGGCCCTAAACCCCAATCCCCACCGTGCGGGCCGTGCGGGGGCAGCCCTGACGGCCTAAAGATAAATGTCCACAGCATATCAGGCCGCGACCATAAAGAACAAGATCTTCTTCTCAGTGAATCATCCCATGCCCCTGACAACAAACCCTGCACTAAAGTAAAGTACCATTATATGTTCGGGGGAATATCAATTATGGGGGGGGGGGTGGTTTATTATTAGGGGAGGAGATTAGGGGATTAGTTGTGTTTCAAGATGACCTTCCCCTTCTGCCCCCAAAACAGTGCATAATGCAGCGACCTAAGAAACAAAACACAACAAAGTTTGACATAGTTTGAGACCCACCGCACAACTAAGGCAGGTTTGGGAGCCCTTTAAAACCATTCCTTAGGGCGTTAAAGAAATCGTGCAAGGATTGAAGGTGCCTAAACCCTAAGCGAATGATAACCCTAAATCCCAAACCCCGAAACCTACCCATGAAACGCCGCAGAGCTTCCCTGGTGAAGGCAGGGAATCTCCCAGCTTCTGTAGCAATGAGCCCAATTCCGGATGGATGTACCTTAGCAGAGTTTAGGATTTAGCTTGATTTGGCTTCAGAGCCTTGCATGGCATCATGCCTCAAGTATTCCCTCTAATATCCTTTGTTGTACTACTATAACAGCAATATATCTACTTCTATCATTATTGCCGATTACCATAACCATATCACACTTTGTACCACTACAATAACACTATTTCTACTACAATTCTTATCATTCCAGTGAGCAAGATGCATCAAGTCATCCTCCATGAAAATCCCCCAGGGGGCCTTGCCAGGTGGGCTTCAGGATTTCTGGAAGTCTCCGGGGGATGTTAATCAGCAGTCGTGGTGATGTTATAAGAGGAACCGCAATAATCTTCAGAATGACCAACAGTGCAAATCATGGATATTCTTCCTTCCCCCAATACAAAATACGGGTTCCCCAGCATTCCCTCACACCGAGCACCTGGCACTTGAGGTCCTGCGGAGTTCCGGCAGCCCGGCGTCAAATTCTCTCGTTTGCCCCTGAAAACATAGGCGGTGTGACAATACTTCGGACGAAACGTCGTGAATTTGATCGCGGGGCCGCTGCTGCACTATCGGCTGCGCTGGCGTGAAGCTGCTTCCTGTCTGCATTATGTGACTTCTGCTACGAACTTCCCTCTCGTCTCCGTCTCGTCTCCGCCTCGTCTCCGTCTCATCTTACCGGGGACAGCCTGACTGCCTCTGGGGTCGGCGGCTTGAGCTGAGCCGATGGCTCCTGAAACGATCACTAATATTTGTATCAGTACTATCCGAGTGCTATCATTACTTGGAAAGGATCACACCGGCCTGGGACTGCAGCAAGTGCTCCCACATGATTCCGTGACCCACGATCAAGGCTACGCCGCCTTTGGTCAGCGCCCCGCCGACTGTAGGTATCCTCGGGCTGTCGTCTTCAGCTTTCATTGTAGAGACTCTGCGGAGTCCTCTAGTAGGTAGCTTACAGATGTTCAAGCCCTGCTCAGCGTGGAACTGCTGCTAGTTTGGAGCGGTTGATGGCACAAACTTTCGTGAGCATTTGGATCGGCTTGGTGGCTTTGATGGTGGTCGGCTTCTCAGCAAACGCAGGACCCCACCTTCCGCAAAGGCACGTCTGCTTGTGTATCCCGAGAAACATAGCAACCACAAGACTCAAATTTCGCACAAGACTCACGAGAAAGATGGTCAGCCCGCACACAGCCTGGGCAAGCTAACCACTACCTTTAGGGAACTGTCTGCGGGGTGCTTTGGCCGAGCATCTGCTTTGTGTCACGGAAAACGGCAGATTCCCATATCCAGTCTGGAATCAGCGACTCCTTCCATTTGGAGGGTAGAAGTATGGCTGTAGGGACCCTTACGGCTACATATAGATAAAGAAGTGGGTAATAAGGATCCCAGGGTTAAGGGCCCATACTAGGGGGTTCAAGATTAGAAGCCCAGATCTATGTTCTACATAAGGGTTTCGAACACTGTGACCTCTGCAATGGTGGGGCTTGCCAGGTGAATTATCAATACTATTACAGTTCGTACTACTACTAATAATGATTGCTATTATTGCTATACTTTGGGCTCTTCTTGGAAACGAGGTCCTCCAAGCCCACTCCCTAAACTTTAGGGGCCAAACCCTAACCGCAAACCCTACACACAAATCTCAAGCCGAAACCCCAATCCCAAATGCCTAAACCAGTTTTATAAACCTAGGCCATCCTATGCCCTAAATCCTAATACCGAACTCCATTGACCATAGATATCCCTCTACAACCCTATATAGAACATCTATAACCTCTTGAAAGGACCTTTGTTGTACTGGTGGTTAGTTTCGAATAGGGGAATATAATCTTATGTAACCCTCGATTTTTTTTCTTGACGTTCTTCCCCCCCTAACGCCAAGTCAGTTAAATCACCCAAACCCTAAACCCTAAACCCTCATCCCCTAAACCCCAAACCCTAAACCCCAAACCCTAAACCCTAAAACCCTAAACCCTAAAACCCTAATCCCCTAAACCCCAAACCCTAAACCCTAAACCCTAATCCAGCCTTCAAATGATCACCGAAGGCTTTTCCGTCCGGCGCAGACACACGGCAGGTTATCTTGAAGAGCCAGGGTGCCTTCGGTTTAGTTTTTAGGGTTTAGGGGTTTAGGGTTTAGTGTTTAGGGATTAGGGTTTAGGGATTAAGGATTAGGATTTAGGGTACCAGGTTGGTTAGGGGTTAGGGGTTTACGGTTAGGGGGTTAGGGAGTTTTGGGTTTGGGGTTCAGGCCTAGGGTTAAGATTCCAGGGTTTAGAGTTCAGGGAGTACATTTTAGCGGGATTGGAGTTTTCAGGGTTCAGGCTTGCAGAGACATCTTATCCATGCCGTTGTAGGCTTCGGGATAAGTTGCAGTCTCCGCTCTGAACGTCTTGGGACGGTCTTCTGTCCGGAGGGCGCATGCGGAAAATGATCTCGCGGAAGTGAAGGCCGACTCATACCGAAGCCGAGCGTCAGCGCGCACTTAACAAGTTGAAATGTTATGTAGAATCAGGGAGTGTACAGGACCGCGAATAGTTGCTATTATTAGCATTATTACTAGTGCTACTATTCAACTTTGCAGTTTCGTTTTGTGGAAGCTGGGATTTCCGGATGTACGATTCAGGGGTCAGCTTGTCAGAACTCCTTGGGGTTTCCTTCAATGAGGAACCGCGCCATAAACCCGAGTTTGCTGTAGTCCCCTAAACCCAAAACCCTGCTGCTAGCCAACTCAGTCAACATATGAGCCTAAATAAGCGGAACAAGGATTCAGCGGAGGCCATAGTATAACAATATATGTATTCTGTATTCTCAAGGTATATCTGTATTCTTAACGAATCAAAGTCGTAATTATTCAAGCTTCTACAGCATCACACATTGTGGCCTGGTCTTAATGTAGACACCCCCATAGCAACACGCCAGCCCTGGAGGCTTCGCACAAGAAACCTGCTTGTACAGGACCTGGGAGAAATTTCCAAGTCGATCGGTGCGACGGTCCTTCAGGGTTTGGGGTGTCTGCTCCGGAAGCAAGGTGCAGGGTAATTAAGGTTTCGGGCGTAAGGTTTCTGTTTCAAGTTAGAGAAAGGTGTAGGGCACAAGGAAAAAGATGTCCTGACCATTAGCGTGGTAGCACTGTTTAGGGGCAACTGCTTCAGAGTAGCATAGCAGTGGGCGCGCGTCGGTTCGGGAACCATGTTTCGGGAACCATGAACGCATTTCGGGAACCATGAAAGTCGTTTCAGGAACCATGGAGGTCGTTTCGGGAACCATGAAAGGTCGTTTCGGGAACCATGAAAGGTCGTTTCGGGAACCATGAAAGCGCGTTCCGGGAACTTGAAAGCGCGTTTCGGGAACCATGAAAGCGCGTTTCGGGAACCATGAAAGCGCGTTTCCGGAACCATGAAAGCGCTCCTCGGGAACCATGAAAATCGCGTTCCGGGCAACATGAAAAACGCGCTTCGGGAACCTTGGAGCGTT